CTGAAATAGCCTGGGGGCTTCAGTACATACAACGACTGACAAATAGCCTGACTCGCAGTGGAGTGCTGCTACATCGACTAAGGGTTTGGGATGGGGAAGCAATCTTTTTATCTATCGTTCTTCTTTTTTTTTTCTTCTTTTTCAAAAAAAACGGTTTACCTTAAAGTAAGCACAAAAAGTGAGCAAATGCTTATCAAAACACGCTTTAATAAGTGTGTGTATATATATATATATATATATATATATATATATATATATATATATATATATATATATATATATATATATATATATATGTATATATATATATATATATATATATATATATATATATATATATATATATATATATATATATATATATATATATATATATATATATATATATATATATGTATATATATATATGTATATATATATAAGTGTGTGTGTGTTTATAGTTTAAAGTCCATGGCATTAAACTATTTTGCAGATCAGGATAATACTTTTGTTGTGATTCCATTATTAAGGAAATAATAATTACAAGTTCTTCTTACTCTTACCGTTACTTTTTTTGTGCCATGGATATTAAACTGTACTACGCACATAAATATTAAGGTTGTGCAAGAAACATATTTTTTTAGAAAGTCTGTTCACACCCTCTAAATGTGTTCTATATAATAAAATACTACTGAAATTTTTGGAAAAAAAAATGTTTTTAGTGGTATTTCAAGTCTCTTCATCAGTCTCAACATCAGATGGGCCCCTAATATTATCAACAAAAATATTCATGTTGGGTCTCAAAAGAAGTGAAATTTTATAAAAATTTCAAAAATAAATATTATTTTATTAAAAATAAGAAGAAAAAATATGATTAAAATAAAAAATGTTTGTAAAAATGCATACTTTTTATATTTAGTTTTAAAATTTTCATTTTCTAGGTAATGAAATCTAAAATGATAATTTTTTTTTATAAATAAAATGATTATTTTTGAAAATTTCATATAATTTTGCTTCTTTTGAGACCCAACATGGTATTTTGAACAACTTTTTTTTTTGATAATACTAGCGGCCCGTTTGATGTTTAAGAGACTTGAGCTACCCCTAAAAATATTTTTTTATTAAAAATTTTTCAGTGTTCTATAATACTGGAGTTGAAAAATACATATATAATATACATATATATATATATATATATATATATATATATATATATATATATATATATATATATATATATATATATATATATATATACATATATATATATATATATATATATATATATATATATATATATATACATATATATATATATATATATATATATATATATATATATATATATATATATATATATATACATATATATATATATATATATATATATATATATATATATATATATATATATATATATATATATATATATATTGCATATGTGTGTGTGTCTGTGTATATATATGTACATTTTGGTTATAATAATTTTTTTTATAAATATAATGATTTTTTTTTTATAAATATAATGACTATTATATATATATATATATATATATATATATATATATATATATATATATATATATATATATATATATATATATATATATATATATATTGCATATGTGTGTGTGTGTCTGTGTATATATATGTACATTTTGGATGACAATTGAAAGTTAATCAAATCATCAACTTTTTTTTTATAAAGATCTTTGGTGATACTGATGGTGGTAATGATGGTGGTGGTGGTTGTGATTTGTAGCTGAAATAATTTAGTATAGTTTTATCAGATAATTTTAGCTACAAAACACCACAAAAAAATTATTTATTTGAAATTTCATATTAATATGAAGTATCAAAAAACTAGTTTTGTTTTGTTCAAGACATTGATGACATCTTTTGCTCAGATACTTATGCTCAATCGGCTGGTTTATAGTTTACGTAATGAATTAAACAGCATCTAATCTTCATGGGACCTAATTTTAATAATAAAGGAAATGGTTGCAAACTGCCTGGGTTTAAAAAGAAGCACTCAAACACTGGTTTATATTCAACCATTCTGCAAATAAAAAAAACAATTTTGATCTCAATAACACTAGTTGATTATTGGATACAAAAATTTAATTTTTATTTGTAAAAAAATATGTTTTTTGGACAAACAAATTAATTGAATTTTTAAACTGCTTCCTTTTTCAGAGGTGGTTTCTATGTAAAGAGCCTAAATCGTTTCATTTAACCTATTACGTCATTTTCGACCTAATTATAATATGAGAGCAAGAACTCTAAATGAGACTGACATTGAATTTCAGAGTAAGTGTTGGAACTATTTTTTGTGACCTTATGCTGAATATAAAAGTTAAGGAGATTTTAACGTTCAAATTGTCCGATATTGCTTAAAACAGCGAAGAGCAGCAAATCAGATTTTATTTTTTTAAAAAGAGAGAGAGAGATTTGATTGAAAGAAGAAGCTGAAAAAAAATATATAAAAAAGAAAAGATTTTTAAAATTAACCCGTAGCAAAAAAACTTGAACTTTAGTCACAGAAAAAAGAGCTAGAATCCTAAAACGTTATTTTTTTACCAATTTAAAGAGCAAAAGTCAATTTCATCGGTTAAAGAAATAAAACCATCTATCTAGTTTGTTCATTAGCAAACAGGTACTTGAATGTAAAACTTGATTTGTCTTTTTTCTGTAAGTTTGATGCAATACTTTAGATACTTTGTACGTAAAGTTTAGTATAGATTTTTTACAATTTATTTTAACAATTTTTTTGTTTCGATTTTGTACAAGAATATCAATAGCATAGAACATTTGACAGTTCATATTCCAAGGTTTAAAAGATTTCTAATTTGATAAAAAATGAATGAATATGTTTTTAAATCTTGTATGTTTCTTGATTTAATTAGACTTTTTTTAGAATTGCGTTATCCTTTAAAACAATAATTAGTAATAATGACCAGATATCTAACTATAACAGGATATCTAACTATAATCGAGTGAAAATTGGCAATTTTGTGGGTTGCTTGCCCAGCCGGCACAACTAAGAAAAAAGTTTCTGTTACGTGTTAAAAATCTTTTAAAACAAAAAGAATAACACGGGTTTTAATTCCGATAAAGAAACTAGATATGCCGGTTAGGTGTTGTCATTACATTCATGAGTCATTTCATGTCTGGAATTAAATTAACAAAAATTCTAATTCCCAGCCAGTTACAACTAATTTCAGATCTAATTTAAGCAGCTGCGGCGCAGTTGTTAGAGTTCTAGCTTAAAACCAAGAGGTTTGTGGGTGGCTTGCCCAGCCGGCACAACTAAGAAAAAAGTTTCTGTTACGTGTTAAAAATCTTTTAAAACAAAAAGAATAACACGGGTTTTAATTCCGAAAAAGAAACTAGATATGCCGGTTAGGTGTTGTCATTACATTCATGAGTTATTTCATGTCTGGAATTAAATTAACAAAAATTCTAATTCCAAGCCAGTTACAACTAGTTTCAGATCTAATTTAAGCAGCCGCGGCGCAGTGGTTAGAGTTCTAGCTTAAAACCAAGAGGTTTGTGGGTTCGATGTTGGTTCTAGTTCAATAAGAAAGGAAACGTGAACTTCCTTGTTAAATGCTCCTCCTCGGCTCCGCTCCTCCTCCTCTGTGATAAGATCTATCGGTCTTTTTGAGCACCTTAATAACTAATAAAATAAAACCTTTCGTAATTAAAACCTGTTGAGACACGTGTTTGTCGCTACAGGTTTTAAATTCAAAAAACTATGAATTGTTTTTTGAATGGTTATACTTTTTGTTTTTGAGGGTTTTAAACATGCAACAGAAACCAAGCGTAACTTTTTTCTGAGTTGTGCCAGCTTCATAATGTTCATAATTACTTAGAAATATAGTATTTTTACTGTTCGTCAATAATATTCAAATGAACATTAAAAATGGCGACAACGAAACGACAAATTGTATCTCAAATACAATCTGGCAGATACATGTTTCCGTTTTCTCTATGCTATATCTCTAACTCCACTTCTTCTTACTTTCACTCTACTATCCTTCATTCTAAACTCACTTCCTTATGGTCCGTCAAAGCGGGTTATGATGCTCTTAAGTGAGTTGAACTTGTCTTTGAAAGCCTTGGTATGTGGTCTCCATATGGCAATTAGTCGGAGGATGGTAGACCACAAAACGGCAAATAACAACTTTTTCTTAAACTTCATATTTAATGAACGGAGTATTACAAGCATTAATGAAATTAAACTTTAGTATTTTAGAAAATATTTTTTTGATTTAAACAAGAACATTTAAAAATTGTTTGTCTTTTTAATCAAATGTCGCGTCATAATTCAAAACAAGAAAAGAAGCTTAATCTAACATACTTTTTTAAAATAAAGTGTTTCTTTTTAATTAGGGATCGTCCATAAATTACGTAACGCGAAATTAATATAGACTAATATAGATAAGAGAAAAAGTGTTAAAAGTTTTCCCTCGCAGAGTCTTTAATTAAACCATGTATAAATAACCCTTTAAGTCTAGCGAAAGCCGCCGCTCAAAAGAGGAAAATGTTCTCCTACTTATATTTTTAAAAAAGCTTTGCTTTGCGTAATTTATGGACGATCCCTTACCGAGTTTCAGTAAACATTTTGTTGAATTACTAAAATAACTAAAACTGTGTAACGTATCTTTTGATTAATTCTTTTTTGGTTGTTTTAATAAACATCATTTCAGTGAACTTTTGTTGTTTTTTGTACAGTTAAAGTCGTTGTTTTTTTTAATTGTCGGATACAAGCATATGCTTGTAACCGACAATTTTAAAAAAAACGAGTTGTCTCGGAAGTATAGAAATTGCTCTGATGTTTGCGGCTTGATAAACTTTTATCTGGTTTGTACTTCGAATGCCAATATGCATTTTTAATTACGGACAAAAATATAATAACATTTTTTTCCTTTTCTTTCTATATAAGCAAACTATATAACTTTTATTTATATAAATTTATCCTAAATATTACCATTAATTATATAGTCTATACAATCTTATACTATCAGTTGTTTTCTCCATGTTAGCGTTACGGCTTTTTTACGTGCGGAAATAAAACAAATCAGTTTTTAATCATATAACTAAAAGTGAAAAAAATTCTTTCATAATTCGCATTGTTTCACATTACGTTCATTTCCTCTGAATAGTTTAATAACTTTTTTCCATCTTTTACTGGCACCACTTTCGTATTTCAGGGTCATGAATTTCAATTCTGATAAAAAAATTTCATTTTTGATGAAATACTTCATTTAATAAAAAAAAACCTAATATGTTAAGTTTTAACAAATTATTAAAATACCAATATTCTGATTAGCTGAACATATTCAAAAAGAAATGATAATAAGTGATTTAAAATAAAGAACAAATAAGTAACTAAGTGTAATCACAACTAAATGCATTTAAAACAAAAAAACTACATAGAAATTTACAAAAAACTACGAATTTAAGGAGAAAAAAATCAAAAAGTATACTATTATTAAAAAAATCCATGTCATTATTTTATTCTGACTTTAATTGTTTCATCGTCGATTTATCGAGTTTACGTCATTGCGTATGTAGGTCCCTGGATACCGGTTTTATAGTCCAATCCATTTTATTAAGCTGTTTAAGCCTGAAAATAATGGTAAATATTTAGTCAATCATTAAACAAGCTTATGGGGTCGTCCATAAATTACGTCACGCAATTTTCGACCATTTTTGACCCGTCGCAACTTCTTAACTCTTTAGCAACGTGTCTCGTACGAGTCGTCATCACTAACCCCTGCCCCCTCTCGAGTATGACGTAATATATGAATAATCCCTCTGCAGAAAATAAAAAAATCATAATTTTTACAAAAGGATTAGGTCATAATTGCAATAATTTCGTCTAAATGTTTAATGTACATTAAACATTTATGACTAAACATTTTATTTTGAACATTTTCATAAATATATTTATGAAAACGTTTAAAAAATACTATTATTAATGACAACATAAAAAACCGACAAAAAAGTTTGATGTGAGTTAAATGCGAGGTTTGAAAAAAATTACTTTAACTTAATAGGATTGGGTTGATGTGGGCCATGTGTATTTTATATATTTGTATCTTTAATAACCACCATTGGTCGATGCCCTGGTTGTAATGGCAGTATCAGCATTAACCATTTGATTTTAGAAAAAAGGGGATTAGCACAGTTCTTCAAAATATCTTGTAATATTTTCAATTTGAACTTAAAATTTTATTCTTCGAAGCAATATATTATAGAACCTAATGCTTCATGAAGAAGTAGTTTTGAAGTAAATAAAAGGGTATTTATTGCTTTTTGTAAGAATTATTAATTCTAAAAGTTAGTTTAATCTTATTTTTCTGAAAAGACAGACAGCAATTTTTCGCAGAATGGAAGTCAGTGGTGACGGTACATGGTTAAAAAGGGTTACTCATCCCTAAATCTTGTTGTGGCATTGATTTCGAAAGGCAAATGCATTGACTTTGAGGTTTTATCAAAGAAATGCAAGTAGTGTGAAATATGGGAACATAGTAAGGGCACTGTTGATTATATTAATTGGAAAGCTCAACATATTTTTTCTATTAGCCATACTGGCAATGCAAGTGCGATGAAAGGTGAAAGTATAAAAAAATGTTTCACCGACCAGAACGATTGAATAACTTACGATATAATTTTTACATTGGTGAAGAAGATGCTAAATCTTTTGACGAGATATCAAAATCTGATCCTTATCCAGGTCACAAAATTATTAAAGGAGAATGTGTGGGACATGTTCAAAAACCTGTTGGGACACATCTTCGCACAATTAGAGTTAATTATAAGGGGGAAAAAACTTGCTTATGGTAAAGGAATCAGAGGTGGGAAAGGAAGGCTAACTGAAATATGATGAATACCTTGCAAAATCATATCCTATTGACTATCAGGTAAAATACCAACAATTTATATGCAATAAAAAAAGCAATTGCTACAGTTTTACACCATTCAAGTGAGCACCATAATTTTGAAAAACTACATCAGTATTGTTCCCGAGCAGCTTAAACCTGGTTTAAATTTCAAAGAAACAAAATTATTGGTAAAACCTACAAAAATAATATTAGTATCCACACAACTGTCGCTTACATAGTTAAACCAGTATATTTTTAAAAAGATCTTGGTCGTAATGAACTTTTGAAAAATATATGGATGGTGTAACTCAAAATACTAATCTCTCAATAATCTGATTTTAATAATATAAATCTCAATAATCTGAGCCTGAATCAAGTTTATGTTGGAAACAGTACTTTAAAAATATCTGTAACCTCTGCTGTTATTAACTATAAAGATGGTGCTAAAAGTCTACTTCCTGTGTTCATCATATTGGGTGTAAATTGTGGCTTTTATATTGCAGAGGGAAGTCAAAGTAAAGATATTGATCTTGTCAAACAATCGGATCATATTTCAGAAGATTTTGTTAATATCAAATTTCAGAAGATTATGTTAAAAAGAGCTCAGAGCCATAAAAAAGGGTAAAATGTTAAAGATAAACTTGAAGAAGTAGAGATATATGTTTATGGCTAATATTAAACAGTTTGTGTTAGGGGTCGTCTATAAATTACATCACGTTTATGGAGGGAGGGGTAGGCGATTTTGTGACACAACATTTTTTTCAAGAGAAGACTTCCTTTTAATTAAAAGAGTATCTGACCAAACCAAAATCCTCAGTTGATGTACCTACATGTTAATTGCAAAATCAACTACTTAGTCGATGTGTACACTCCGTTAACAGAGTAGTTACAGCCTGTTAACGGTCTGTAACAGTTGTATGTGTAGTGCACATTCTGCTCTTTGAATTAATACGACTCAAGTGCAGAACTTTATTTATCTGGTGTACAAAAGTGTGCAGCAACAAAAAAACAATCTTTGTGCACTAAATAAAAAAAAATGATTTTGATATCGAGAAGCAAACCTGGAACCTTTGGTTTACTAGCCAGAGGCAAAATCCGCTCGACCACACTTACGTTGCTATTTATCAGAAAATTGTTGTGATAAAGTAATATTTTTGCATGTATAATATATTATTATTTATTAAATATATAATATTTTGCATATATTATATATCGGAAGAATGGATTTTTAAAATTGGTAAAAAAAAAAATTAAACAGACTGAGAAGTACTAATTAATTAACTCAAAGAAGCTCAGAGAATTATAGACATTATTATATTTAAAATTTTTTTATATTTTTAAAATTTTGTACCCCTCCCCCTCCCTTAAAAAACTTAGAATTTTTTTTTTAAGGGATGGGGGTACAAAATTGTTGCGTAATATTGGGGGGGGGGTCAAAAAATGTTACGGATGCGTTATGAGGGGGGAGGGGGAAGAAGGGGGTCAAAAAATGTCAAAAACTGCGTGACGTAATTTATGTACAACCCCTTACCATATAATTACAATATAATACTTTTTTAAAATTGATTTAGCTTTTTTTGCCATATTTTTTTCTCCCTAAATCTCAATTTTTCATAAAAAGTAATTTTTGACAAAAAATAGATGAGCTGAAATTTTGCAGATTTAAACATGAATATATTAGGAATGTGGTCTATGTAGCAGGATTTTAGTTTTCTTTAAAAAAAACAACTTATTTTCATTATGTTTTGGTCCCGAACATCCCTTAATTTTTATATCTTTAAGTTTGAATGTCAACCTGGTAGATTTAAAAAAGTTTTAAAATTTCTGTTATATAGACAATTTTCTAAATACGTTTAAGAAATCATGTTTAAATTTTCAAACAGTTTTCACAATTTTGTGGTAAGTTATATTAGATAAAAGATTAGGCAGTTTTGGGGGTAAAATAACATAGTTAAAGACGTCATCACTAAAAAATTTATTATATGTGGTTTTTTTTTGTTTTGTTTGTTCATTAATAGAAAAGAGACAAAGTCTATTAATATTTTTCAATTTTTTGTTGAAAAAGTTGTCTTTACCCTGGTACCACCATAAGCACACTGTTTATGTGTGTTTATGGTGGTATCAGAGTATTATAATAATATTATTATAATACCCTGGTACCATTATAAATAAATACTATTAGACTTTTTTTATTTTTAAGCTTATTTGAGAATTAAGAATTTATATTTTTTATAAAAATAAAAAAAATATATTAAAATTTCTATAAATACTAATATTATATTATGTATCAGATAATATAATTTTTTAAAATGAATTTGAACGAAAATAAATTATTTCTGATTTGATAGTGATATTCAACATTTATATAATATTTAACACACTGTTGATTATAAATTGGTACCCTGGTACCATTATAAATAAATACTATTAGACTTTTTTATTTTTAAGCTTAATTGAAAATTTATTAAAATATTTAAAAGTATAATATTATTTAATAAAATATTTCTGATTTGATAGTGATATTAGAAAGGAAATTTTTAGTTAAAGCTTAAAAAAATTGTTACCTGTAAAAATATCAAAGCTTTTTTCTGAAAATTTAACAAGATTTTCTAAAAACATTTTTGAACGTTTTGCTTTTTCGTAAAAAATTTTCATCTCACAATTAATAATGACAGTGCATTCCGAAAATCTGTCAAACAACAAGTCAAAACATTTTCCTTCTTTTTTTTCAATGTTGGTTTTAATTTCATCTCTGCAAGTTTCCAAGTTGTTTTTTATTAAAAGTATTGATCCAGTTATTGAGGAAACATACTCAATAGAGGCTAATAGCTTATCGTCAAAGCATGTACCTAAAATATATTAAATATATATATATATATATATATATATATATATATATATATATATATATATATATATATATATATATATATGTATATATATATGTATATGTATACACACATGAAAATGTAGTTCATGTATATGAAGGACATTTTTTTTTAAGGTACCTTCTTTTCTTGCACAAACTGTCACTTTCGCCATCCCCTCCCTTCCCTTCCTTTGGCGCAAAGTTCTTATTTTGTATATTTTTTGATTTTTTTTTCTTAACTACCATTTTATTTTCATTGGTGAGCATTTTCTTTCTTTCCTCATATAGTACCAGTATTACATTTTGCGTTTGATATTCAGATTTATATACAAAATTGTAACCTTAAACAAGGTGAGCACAGTCATTTTTCACAAACTAAAAAAACTTTCTGTAGTTCTCAACATCATTTTTGTATTCAGAATTTCCCTTAATCCATTCATTAACATCTTCTTTAGAAACACCAACAATGTCAAAAAGGATCCAATATCTCCAGTAAGAATTCTAGATCAGGTGATCTATACAGTCATTGAAGTATTGAAGATATTCAATGATGATATTGAATCTTTTTTTACATTGTAAAATAACCTCTATGACTGAAAAATTTAAAGCAACATTTGCTTGTGCCTTGTACCACAAGCAGATGTTGCTTCAAGTTTTTCATTAGTAAGCTCTATGAGAATCTTATTGCTTTTATTCTGTCCACAAAAAACAAAAAAATCATATTTAGAAACCGAACCCTCAGATGCAATATTTTCTTGTTCTGAAATGACCAGTCTTTTCTTCTCTTTCTCTTTTTGTTTTTCAATCTTTTTCTTTCTTTCAATTTAAATAAAAGCAATAGGATTAAAACAACAGCATAATTAATAAAAACCTGTTTTATATACACAAAAATATTTGGAACTCTTTTGAAGTAATCCTTGTTTTTCCCTAAAATTGTTTTTCTTTTCTCTGATCTAATAAAAATTATAAGCCTTCTTGTATCTTTTCATAATCTCTATCCGTGCTTATCCTCAACTTGAAATCTGATTTGCATTTTGTCAAAAATTAAAACTTTTTTAAAAACAAATACCGATGACTTGATTGTACTTTTTTCTTTATGTGAACTTTTGAATAGCTATACAGATTTATGTATTTTTTTTTGCATTTTCTAAAGGATCTTCCAAAGCATCTTCCTAACCAAGCTTTTCTTTCAAACTCTCTGAACTTCTTTTACCACACAGTTGTTTCCACCCTCCAAGACTCATTGTCAAAGCAAAGAAGCTCAAATTCACCGTTTTCCTGAGGACAACCATTTTCCTTCAAAAATCTTTAATTTTTGGTCTGACTGCAGATATAAGTAGTACCTGATTAAAAAAAAATCATTTTATATAGAGAATTTGAATTTAACTTTATGTTAAATAAATTTAAACGAGAAAAAATTTATATAAGTTTTTAAAAGTTTTAAAAGTATTACAAAGCATTAGAACTTTTTAACTGTTTTCAATGGTAGAAAGCTCTCAAAGTAGAAGACAATTAATGTTTGTAATAAACAAAGAGTCAAGTGTTCTTGATATTGAGTGTGAGGTCCCTCAAGTCTCAATCTTAGGACCGTTATTGTTTTTAATTTACATCAATGATATGCATAAAGCATCATCTATAGTATCTTCAATAATGTATGCTGATGATACAACTTTGTTTTATAATCATAGTAATTTAAAATCGATGTTCGGAACAATGAATGCTGAACTGGAAAACTTTAATTTATGGTTTAGAACAAATAAGTTATCCTTACACTGTGAAAAAACTAACTACATTTTATTTCATAAAACAGGTCAATCAATGTCTCTACCGTTAAAAATTCCAGAGTTGCTCATAAACATCATTACAATAAAACGGGAAAAATATGCAGTGTTTCTTGGTTTTCAAATTGATGATTATTTGGAGAATTCATATTGGACACATTGAATCAAAAATATTATCTGCAAAAGATATTTTATATAAATGTTGCCCGTTTCTTGATTTCTATTCAAGAAAAAACTTTACTTAAGTCTAATTCCTAGTCATCTCACATATGCTAATGTAGCATGGGTAGGGTTTGCAATCCCAGAGGTCTTTCTTAATCCCAGGATTCCAGGATTAAAAAACATCAATCCCGGGATCCCGGAATTGAAAAACTGATATAGCATCTGTATAGTATTAAGTAGAACAAAAACAGTACACTCTTAAACAAAAATATATTTTATAAGTGATACTGTTTGCATTACATCGTTACATGCATGAAAAAAAAACATGTTAATTAAGAAATTTGATTAAACGTTAATTAAGAAATTTGATTAGAAATAAGGAAATATATCATGTTTCATGTACTTTGAAATATGACTTCAGGAAGCACAACGCGTCAAATGTTTCATAGCCCAACCTGTTACAAATTTTATTATTAAACAGTCCAGCGGAAGAAAATGCCCTCTGAGCCTCGACACTTGTCGGTTTCACCGTCATTAGAAATGAATAAACTTTTTCTAAATAATCACCACGTGTACCACCATTTTCAAATAATGTCCTTTCTTTTCGAATTTTTTATAACAATGTTTCATGTTTAACTGGTTGCATCGGTGATTGCGCTTCTTTAACTACACCATCAAGCTCCTCTTCAATACTTAAAGTGTTATTTTTAGTTTCAGGTTCTTCAATAAAATCTGGCATATCAGACTCAACTGATGCTCTTATTAAAGCAGGATTGGAAGCATTTAATCTTTCCAGCAATTCTACCAACAGTTTTCGACATTTGAAATAAAGAAGGCACTAATTATTTCTTCATTGACTTCAATTGAGCTTCGACCGTTATGCAGATAATGCAGAAGTATACTCATATCAGTTCGGCGTTCATGTATACGAGCCATTAAAGTTGTACACATTTCCTTGCTTGTGTTATTGTCAGTATCTTTTAATTTTGTAAGCATAAAATTAATAGCAATGTCAGCTGTAAGTAGGTTAGGTGTGTATGTCAGCTGTATGTCAGCTGTAAATAGGTTAAAAATTAATAGCAATGTCAGCTGTAAATAGGTTAGAATATCGGCAAGAAAGTGCTTCAACGTTGCTTTAATAGGAACTAAAGTTGTAATAATGTCTGATAATATTGTCAAATATTATCAGACATTATTACAACTTTGGTTCCTATTAAAGTACGTATTTTATGGACAACCCCTTAGATCATTTGCAACATGTCACAAAAACTGACAGTCAGTTGTGGAGTTTTGAAGACACTGTCCTCCACACATAAGGGTTAAACTAAAAAAAATCTGTTAGTAACTACTAACTTTAAAATACACTTATCATAATAATAAATTAGATTTTAAAAACATCCGGCAACTTTTTACTAACTTATTTGCCTTAGCTGCAATGATAGATGAAATCACCAAAATTTATGTAAAAAAATATCCATTAAGCACAAAATGTTTCTCACGTTTTTAAAGATTTCTCACTTTCCTACCCCCCACCCCCACCCCTCCTCCTTCCTCTCACCTTCATTGCCCTAAAAGCATTAAAGCTCGATCAATACTTAGTCATTAGTTCTATCTACTTAGTCTTAGTACTATCTAGACTGCTTCTTAGTCATTAGTTCTATCTACTTAGTCTCAGTACTATCTAGACTGCTTCTTAGTCATCAGTTCTATCTACTTAGTCTTAGTACTATCTACTTAGTCATTAGTTCTATCTACTTAGTCTTAGTACTATCTAGACTGCTTCTTACAAGTATAAATAAAATAACTTAAAAAAAAGATCCATTTTGAAAAAATCCGTTTTAGAAATTCAATAAACGTCAATAAATTCTCTGTCATTTCCCCTCCTAAACAAAACTCGAAACTTCTTCTAAATATAAATTCAAAACACAATTTCTTCTAAATATGAGCTCTAAACATTGGTTATTCTAAATATAAACTTTAAAAATTGCTTGTTCTAAATATAAACTAAATTAAAATTAAAATAAAGAACAAAATTAAATTAATTAAAACTAAAATGAGGCATGTTGATAAAAAAAAGCCTCACAACATGTTTAAAATTATATTATTAATATTAAATTTAAGCTACACCAAACAAAATTAAACCGTAAGCTTATCATTAGCTTGCAAGCGAGCTTGTATAGCTGCAGAAATACAGCCACAGATTATGATTAACTGTGGTAACTGTTTGGTTCGATATTGGAGGCATTAACAGTTTTATCAGACAGAGAGTACCAATTATTTATTGTTTAAAACCATATTGTTGAAAAAGTTATATCGAACCAGTTGCTAATAGTTTTGATAGGGTAATAATTCAATACTCTAACTTGCCTAATACAAAGAGGTTAAACATTTTCATATGCATTAATGTTTTTTATAATATGGGGACACCAGGCATTGATAGCATGTTTAAAAAAGGGGAAGACATTACTATGTGTAAAGTTTTTTCCAGACTTTTCTTTAAACTGAAAATTTACTATAGACCTGGTAACGCTACGAGCTCGGTTTTTGGTGCCTCTGATCATCGGGGACCCTGGTCATGGCCTAGTCAGATATATTGGTTAATCCAGCACTGGTTATAATCTACAAAACAATGAAAGACATATTGTCTCAACTTTTCCATAATATTGAACAAAGAAAATAGTGTTACAGAACTCCACCCAAAAATGCACAAATGTAAAATCACATGCAGGCCTTCTCGTAAAAGGCGTGCGATCGGACGCTTTATATGACCACACATATAGTTCTTTGTTTTAACAACTTGACCAGGGCTCATTGCAAGTTTTGATAATTAGCGCATTTAAAAAAAACAACAAAGCAAATTAAAATAAACAATCCATTAACTGAAAAGAGAATAAAATCCTTAAAATAATATATATAACAAAAATTAACCTAAAAAAGTAAAATATTTAAAGAATTATAAAATAAATAAAGAAAAAAACCAGAAAAACAATCAAAACATTTATTAATTTAAACTTAATTGGATTTTTTAAATGCGCTAATTATCAAAACTTGCAAAGAGCTGTGGTCAAGTAGTTAAAACAAAGAACTATATGTGTGGTCATATAAAGCGTCCGATCGCACGCCTTTTACGAGAAGGCCTGCATGTGATTTTACATTTGTACATTTTTGGGTGGAGTTCCATAACATTATTTTCTTTGTTCAATATTATAGAAAAGTTGAGACAATATGTCTTTCATTGTTTTGTAGATTATAACCAGTGCTGGATTAACCAATATGTCTGACTAGGCCATGACCAGGGTCCCCGATGATCAGAGGCACCAAAAACCGAGCTCGTAGCGTTACCAGGTCTATAGTAAATTTTCATTATGAAATTTTAATTTTATTGATAATCAACTTTTAATGCAATTTTTAACAATTTTTGTTTTATATTAATTTAAAGTAGCTAATTTATAAACTATAATGTTATATTTATAAAACTATTTTGTTGGTGTTAGTGATTTATACTTATAATGTTTATATTCAAGTAAATAGTTATTTAAATAAAAATTTTGAATGATTAAAACATCAGTTTTATAAAAATGTTTCGATTTACTGTTAAAGTACAATTGAAAATTATTTTATTAAACATTCCAATTAAACATACCATTAAACATTGTTTCAATATCAGATTTAGATAGATCAAGCTTCGGAAATGAAGTCACGTTAAACAAACAACGACAACTGCCTGAAAAAAACAATGACTGTCTGAAAAAAAACAATGACAATTGTCTGAAAAAAATAGTGTAATAAAAATGAAACAACTTAAAAAAATAATTAAAGAAAAAATTTAAAATCAAAAATTTACTTGTGAAATTCAAATCATTACAACTCTCTGAGGAATTTGTTAGATTTAAAGAAACAGTTTTTAGTATTACGGTTCCTATTGTTGAATGAGAATGCAGGGTGACTTTTGATGTTACATCAGATGTCGAAGCTGCTGAAGATTTTACTATATTAGAATTAGTAATGACATTCCTTTTAGTTGATTTTCCATTGGGTTTAGTAGTAGCAACATTGGTAACAGGAGTTGATTTAAATAATAAGGTAGTTCTGTTATTTAATTTTTCTGCATTTGTACTTAAAGAGTCAGCTGTATACGTTGTAGTCTCCGAAAACTTTTTTGACTTACTTGACATTGAAACTGTTTCATATGTTCGGATAATATTATTTGGTAAAGTTGTTTTATATGCATTTGGTGATGTTTGGACAGTTTTTTTTATTGTGGTGGATACATATGGTTTAGTAATTTTGGTTGTATATTTGTTTACAAAGGACAAAGTAGAATATGTGTTTATGGTAGAATTAAATATACAGTTTGGAAAGATTTTTGATAAAAGACTTGTTTTTAGTAATTGATCAAAACTGCTTGATTTTATAATGTTATTTGAGTTGTTTGTTATAACTAGTAAGTATTTCATGTTGATTTTTCTCCCTATAGAAACAGCATAAATTGCTATATTAGAGTCTCTTGCTTTTTTTGCTACAATTGCAAGATCATTATGACGATTTGCACGAATTGGAGAATTTCCAATGTTAGCATTGCCATCTGTTAGTATGATCATCATTTTCATGACATTAGGTCGACTTCCACATCCTCGTTTTGTTAATAAATCCTGTCCTTTCATTATACCATCTTCAACGTTTGTATATCTACCTATTTGCTCAAGCTTCAAAACTGCTTCACTGAATGATTTTTCATCATGATACTGATCACAGTAAATTGATTCAACTGCTTTGTCTGAGAATAGTGCAACAGATGCTTTGTTTCCATAAGAACTAATTGTGTATTTATTTACAAGAGCATTAATAAATATTTTTTCTTCATTAAAAAATTGAGGACTAATTGAATCAGATGAATCCAAAACAAATGATAATTCAAGGACGCAATATTCTAAAAAAATTATTGAAAATTTGTATTGAAATACTTTTTAGAGATTAGGTTATTATATTTTAAGTTAATAAATAATTATAATTATAATATACTTGTTACTATTATAACTATTATTATTACTACTACTTATTATTATTTCTTTTGTTTCAAGCAGCATTTTAACATAAAAATAAATAAAAATAAATAAATAGTAAGAAATAGTTGAGCTGTCAGAGATGTATTAAATATTTGAGTTGTATGCGCCGTATTAAGGTTATGGCTTAGGTGGCCACAACTACAGGCCACTACAAGAATTAGACCCACTTAAAAAAATGAAAAAAAAACTTTAAAATATAAAAAAGTCCATTTTAAAAAAACGTCAAAATGGAAATAACATTAAATTATCAACAGTCGGAGATTTAAAACCGCCTCAGCGGCCTCACATACCAATTCTTTAAACATTCCAATTCTCTACACATACCAATTCTCTAAACATTTCATACAATGTTTATTTATTGGATGTTTAACAATCGGAAACCTAGACACTGCCACATATATTATTATTATTTATTGATTATTACATGAATTGTTTATTTCCGATTCCTATCGAAAATATTTTTAGTACAAACTGTTTGTTTCTAATATTGTCTATATAGTTATTTATTTTTGTTATAATAAAAATAAATAGTTATGAAAAAATATAAAAGCAGGTAGGAGAAAACAAAATTTTAAGAAAGAAGAATCAGGTCTCGTACAAAAGTTTAAAGTGAAAATGCAATGTGATAAACTTGCAGATGTAGATATTCCTGATGATGTAGGATTGCGGAAAACTACTGATGTTTCGCGTGATTACTTCTGTTTCAAAGGAATTGCTAGTTATCAAAACATTGAAAGTGGTTTTAGCACGTAAGAAGATATATTTCCAGAAAATGGTTTTAATTGACGTTGATCAAAATCATTGTTTTTTCGAAAGCAATCGAACGGTGTGAAAGGTCAGCTGAGTGTCATTTTTCAAAAACTGGTACGATATGCTGTGCTAATTATAAGCTATTCACAAAAGCCGAAAAAATGTCACTGTTAACCACTAATGGTTATTACCATCAGAAGAATGCAGTCAGTGACTCAAGAGCCATGAACTCTAGATAGAAATATCATAGAAAATATTATTTCTATAAAAACTACAGAAAAGCGAACAAATAAAAGTCGTGTATGTACATGTCTGAAAGGAACTATTTGCGTCAACTTCTCAAACTGATTTTAGATGTAATCAAATTATTGTTGTCAAAAGGTCTTGCTTTTTGAGGAAATAAGTTATTTTTTAAAACTGCAAACAACGGCTATTGTTTAGGTTACTTAGAGAGTATGATTTAAGTTACTTGCAGAGCATGATTTATTTCTCGCAGAACACGTTCAACGTGCTAAAAAAGGTAGAGGCCACATTTCATATTTTTTATCAACAAATTGTGATAAAGTTATTTTAACTATAAGCAATCAGTTAATGAGGTTGATTATAAAAGAGATAACAGATGCAAAATACAACTCTGTCTCAGTAGACTCAACACCGGATGTTTCCCATTCAGATAAATTGTCATTAATTATTCCATATGTAATAGCATGGAACAGTTAAACGTTTTTTAAAATTTATTCCAATATGTTAGCATAGGAGAAAGCTTGGCAAAAATAATATTTACATTTTTAGAAGAGAATGACATAAGCATTACAAGCTGTAATGGACAGTTGTATGACAATGCGTGTAATATGTATAAAAAGTACATGTTATGTAAGCCTGGATTTGCAAAGAAAAGTTTTGCTGAATACTGGGCCATCCCAAAGAGATTTTAAAGGAAATGGGGGAGGGGGTTAAGTATCTGTTTTTTGCAAACTAAGACCAAAAAAAAAAAGAATCCTCGTTAGCTGATATTTGCCGACTGCCAAATATAAATCCAACTTGCCGACACCAGTGTCTCATATGCCAACTAGTAAATTTAGTAGGGTGGCTAGATACCCCTACGTCCCCCTCGGGATGCTTCTGGCTGAATACATTCCATGTTGTAGACATTCTCTATATCTTTGTGGTAAAAATGCTGTCAATAGCTAATTGCAGTTTATTTTGATTTCATTTAAAACTGTTTGTGTTTCAACATACCGAGGAAATCTACTTTTAACTGGCTTTACTCCTTTAGGAAAATCAATATTAAAACAACTTTCAAATACACGTTGGTTCGCTCACCACAATGCAGCTAATGCACTACAGAAAAGATATAAAACAAACTATTAGATTTTTGTTAGTATGTATGAATTAACAATTGAAAAAACTGACACATGATTGGAAGAAAAAAGACTTACAGCAAGTATGAGTAAGCTACAGACAGAACAGTAACATCAGTGGTTTTAGAAAGATCTGACAAAACAAGCAAATGTTTTCACGATTCAAAACTAGATTTGAATACGGCTACAAAGATGTTGCAATTTTTAAAAACGTTTGTTTAAGAGCTTTTTTCTTAATTCAGTAAAATAGAACAGAAATGCAAAATTCTGTATCAAAACGATGCGTATCAGGAAGAGCATAAAAGATAAAATTTGTTATTTATAAATTAATTATTATTTATTTTTATAAATGTTATTATCTGTTTTTTTTTAATAGTTTTGTTATTGATTATAATTTAATTATGAATTTTAAATTATAATTTAATTTATAATTTATTTATGCAAAATGAAAAAGCAGATGATGTTGACGCCGAGACGAAATATTTGGATAAATTTAAAATCCACATATTTTTTCCAATTATTGATAAACTATTATCAGCCTTGAATCAGAGAATCTCTGCATATAGTGTTATTGATAATAGATTTGTTTTTTGAATACTTTAACATCTAATGATTTGCGATCCAAAACTAAACATTTCGAGTAACATACCATGAAAAGCCTCAGTCATCAGTTAAGGTTGTTCAATTTGTTGCTTTGTTCAAAGACTTTAACAATGAAACCACGTCAACTAAAAACAAAATTTTTATGCGCAAAAGTGGAGAATTATAGATGTTCATATTTATTGGTAAGCTTGAGCTCGTGGCTGCTTTCCCAAAGGTTTCAGTTGCATTACTCATCTATCTTTTTTAATGGTAAGCAATTATAGCGGAGAAAGTTCATTTTCTCAACTTATAATTAAAGTATCAAGAAGTTTGTAATTAAAACCAAGAAGGTTGTAATTAAAATCAAGAAGTTTGTAATTACGAAATGATGTAGTTGAGTTTTTTTTTAAATTAAAACAAAAATGAAATTGCAGATTGATATGAGACATGAACCATTGAAAACGAATTAAAAATGAATCTATTTTGTTTTTTAACTTTTTTTCTTAAATTATAAAATGTTTAATAAATGAATAGGTCCTAAACATTTTATAGCTTCTTTTGAGCACTAAAATACCTTCTAATGAACTTTGAAATATATTTAAGGTAAATCAAATTATTTGTTCTCTAATTACTTTGATTGTTTTTCAAAAAATCGTGCAAAAATAAATAAAATGTGAAAGCTGTTTCTATGAATATTTTATTTTATAATAAAGTTTAAGTGCGTTGAGAAATTACCTGGTAACATCTTTTTCTTGAAATAAAGCTTTTTGTATTATAAGACCTTCTCATAAGATGTCTTTTAAAGTTGGCATCTCTGATGGAACAAGATCTTTACATCCGCTTGAATAAGTTGATAATTTTGATTCTATAGTGTGTATAGTATTTTTTTAAGAAACCCATATTTTTTATTTAACAGTCAGTAGTTAATTTATCATCTTTTTTAAAAAATAAAATTACCATGAATGAGTTTTAGTAAACGGTACAAGAGACGCTCGCTCTTTAGAGCAATATGTTAAACATTTTAATATGTAGGATAACAACTGAATACAGTAAATATTACATATTTACAATAAAATAAACATATCAGATATCGGCAAAACCAGTAAAAAATAAAGTGTCTCATTTTGCCCCGAAACAAGTCAGCATCAAAAACATTTAACTTTCAAACAACTTTATAAAACAAATTAATTATTGGTTTATGGAAATGATAGAATAATGCTTAATGATAAAAATAACACACAAACTTTAAATATAAAGTTTTTTTATATTCTACGGGGACAAAAAAAGACTAAAAAAAATTACGATAACAAGGCTTCAAAATTTGTAATTGTCATTTAACCGAAATATGAAATGATTGTTATTCTCAGTATTTTTTTTATTTCAAACTCGTCATGTTTTTCCTAAAACTCGTCATGTTTTTCCTAAAACTCGTCATGTTTTTCCTAAAACTCGTCATGTTTTTCCTAAAACTCGTCATGTTTTTCCTAAAACTCGTCATGTTTTTCCTAAAACTCGTCATGTTTTTCCTAAAACTCGTCATGTTTTTCCTAAAACTCGTCATGTTTTTCCTAAAACTCGTCATGTTTTTCCTAAAACTAAATGTATTTGAAACACAGCAGCAGTTTAAAAAATTTTTAAAACAATAAATTTTGGGAATAGCCTTGTGTCTCATTATGCCCCCACATTACCCTACTTTGTTATACTTAAGTTAAAAAATGATTTCGACTACATTAAGTCAATATTTCTGAAATCTAAAATGTAGAGAACCAATAAATTTTTTTTTCGGAATTTGTCTTTTAGTATGAATAGCATCAACATTCTAAAAAATAGCAATTTTAAAGAAGGTAACTATTGAGCTATTTTAAAAAAGATAACTATTGAGCTATTTTAAAGAAGGTAACCATTGAGCTATTTTAAAGAAGGTAACTATTGAGCTGATTCTTACAGAAAGCTCTTAAAAACTTGATCAAATCAGTTTTCAAATTTTTAATTCTCTAAAAAGTATCATATTAAAATCAAAAACTTGGATAATTTGCGTAAAAATATCCAGATATCCAATTAATGTAATACAAACACATGTTTTGCTGAAAAAAATTTACCTGGATATAGAATGAATATAAAGAAAAAATATACCTGGGTAAAAAAATGAATATAAAGAAAAAATATAGCCGGATATACAATGAATATAAAGAAAAAATATACCTGGATATAGAATAAATATAAAGAAAAAATATACCTGGAGCAATCGTCTGAGTCATTGCTGTTGCTGTCACGAGGAAAAAAAACTTACAAACTCTAAATAAGTTCATTGTTAATGCAAAGTTAGTTATTTATAAAATGAAAAGTTACCTTGCATATAGTAGCCAAACTATTAAATTAATTTATTTAATTGGTTGGTTTGCGGTGTGTATGAAGATTTAAATAAATTACTCTGAACGGATAATTAAACAATAAAGACGACATGAAGTACGTAGACCTGCCGCCGAAGCTCTTAAATATCGACAAAATGAATGGTTTTTTATTCGGGGTTTATTCAGCAAATACAAGGTCTTAATTTTGAGTCATTTTTTCCAGATTTGGGTATAGTAATGTTCTAATAAAAGAAATGAATGGCCTAACAATGTTTAAGTAAAAAATTAGCAAAAATATACCTTGCATTTAGAAAATATTTTTTTGTGGGACAAATTTACACATGATTGAAGTAATAATTTTTGAAGTTAAAACTATTTTGCTTTTTTATTTAAAAAAAAAGAGGAGTTCTAATTTGTATTTTATGGGTTAAAACGAGTGAAACGAGTTATTTTAAACATTTATTTATTTTAAACATTTATTTATTTTAAACATTTATTTCTCTATACTTTTGATAATTTAAACTTTTGTTGATAAATATTAAAAATTCCCAGCGTCAAATTGCGATTATTTTCAAGGCCAAAATAATAATAATAAAAAATTACTTTAAATTCTATTTACATTTGCCCTGTTGTTTATATTATTCGAACAACTTCCGGGTTTTAGTTTTATACTGGAGGTTACTTTAAACTAGTTTTTATGGTTGGTTCTTAAACTATTTTTTTATGTTGATTCTCTTATTTTATAATCTGAAATTACACACGGTAAATAAGTTTCTAAGAAGCGTTAGGGGAAGTTGGGGTACAATGGATCAAGTGGCACAGTGAGTAAGAGGCATTTACTCAAAGATAAGAATTTTGATAATCTAATCATTTTATGTGCTCATTTATCAGCCATCTTTATTTATAATTGTTACCCCATAATTTTTAACTACCGATTTTCGGAAGGTAATTTTTGTTTTTAGGTAACTAAAGTAAAATTTCTTACTTTCCTTATGTTTGTTATGGAGATCATGGTTGAAATAATTTAAAAGTTGAATTTTTTTTTAATTATTGATACTTAGGCTTCCTTTTAGTAGCTTAGCTTTTCTTTTAACAACACTTATGTCCCAAGAAATTAGACTTAAATTTAATTTGTTATGGTGGGGCCTAGTGAATTAGGGTACAGTGAATGGGTTGATTCACCACTATGCCCCATTAATGATTTTAAAGATTAAATTCATGCATTTTTATCAAACAAACTACATGAAAATGAAATTATTAGTTTTTAAGTTATTAATAACATTTGAATAATTTCTTAATTTTTTAATATTTTTATAAGTTTTGTTATCAATAAAAAAAAATTTTTCCTTATTTTTAAAATGTCTATTTTTTTAATTTTATGCTAACCTAATTAATAAAAGTATGCCAAAACTATAGTGTAGAGTATCTTTACTCCATCAGCCTCGTAGTCATTTGACTATGCCCCTATTCACTATAACTAATTAACAGCTGTGTTCATCGATTCACTGTGCTCTAGTACTGGGGCACAGCGAAAACGTAACACAACTTACTCTAAACCTTTATGCGAGCCGTTAAGGCGAGTTTCCACTCATCCGTTTTTTTCACGGGAACGGAAAAGGAACGGGAAAAATAATTACGTGGGCATGCGTAGTACAAGTTTTAATATGTCTGAGGGAAAACTACGCATGCTCACGTGATTATTTTTCCTTTTCCTATCCCGTTCCTGTGAAAAAACGGATGAGTGGAAACTCACCTTTAGATAATAAATATTTGGGTTTTAATGATTTATTATCATGAAAAAATATATATCAATCTTTCCGTTTTGAAAAAAATATATATATATACTTTAACTTTTGCTCAATATAAAAAATAAAGAAATCCACTGTGTCCCAACTATATTATTTGTTCGTAATAAATTAAAAAAAAAAAAAAATAGAATAAAACTAGCCGTCATGACAAGTATAAAATGGGTTATAGTAAATTTTTATTCATTACTAAACCATTTTTTCTCCATATACTTTGTTTAAATAGCTTTTAATAATTAATAGCAAGTATAAAGATATTTCATGTTGGCTTTTAGTTAATAATTATCGTTTAAGACTTCATACCTTCTGTTGCGAAAACTACTATAAAAGAACAATCACGTAATTACTAAAAAAAATAACGACAATTATTGTACATTTAGTAACATTATTGTTTTTGTCCTATTTATAAAAAAATTAATTTAATTTGGCAGACTGGAATTGGCGGGGGGATAAATCTATCAACAATAATATCAAAGTAAAAGCTTCTAATCGGTTGGGAAAATAAATCTTAGCATTTGACAGTTTGTAGAAAATACTGACTTGTTCTTACATGGTTTTGGCACTAAACTTGATCTTTGATTAGTAAATTTTCAACTTAAATCTCAGACTTTTCAGGCACAATAGGCTCTGCAACTGTTAGAAAATTGCTTACGTTTATTTGATTTCATGTTTTTGGCTATGTTTTAGGGATTCTGAAGAGCATAAAAAACGACTGATGAATTTACAATCAAGTTTTCAGTTGATGGTCATGCAAGTTAGATTTCTAATTGGAAAAAAATTTGGGTTTGCCTCCATTTTTTTTTCTTCAGTTTTGCATCCTTTATTTTTTGGGGGATTTCATATTATCAGATGAAAAATCCTAACGCGATAAGTTTGAACAAACTATTTGTAGTATTACTAATAATTTGTTAGAAACAAAATTTCAGTATCTTATAAAAAAGAATAAAACACAATGTTATTTTAATTTATTAATTATTTAATTAATTAATTTATTTATTTTAAACTTTAATCATAACAAATTGTAAGATACAAAACAAAAAAATAAATTATTTTATATACGTTTAAAAGAATTATAAAGATCAAATCAGATATAATATTTATAATAAATAAATATATTATATATATATATATATATTATATATATATATATATATATATATATATATATATATATATATATATATATATATATATATATATATATATATATATATATATATATATATATATATACACGCACAATAAATAGCTCCACTAATAGCTCTTATTTTGCTTTATTGTCGATTTCTTGAGTTTATGTCATTATGTATGTAAAAACCTGGATGTCTGGAAATCTCGATTAGTTTTACAGTCCAATCCATTTTATGAAGTTGCTTATGCCTAAAATAAATGGTAAAAAATCAAGATCATTGACATGATGAACTGTTTTTTATAAGACTTTTATGAAACAAATTATTTTTACAAAATAATTTTGTTATAATTTACAACGACATTTTGATAAAAAAGTTTACTTTATAAATATATAAGAACGTGTGAAAAATGCTATTGTTAATAAAAACAAAATAACCAAACATAAAAAAATGAAGTGGAAAAATACAATCAAGGAAAGATGTGTGGCTGAATATATTTTTCACACTGTACTATAATCTTGAAAACAAATTTCATGAGTTTTTATGATTTCTTAGAACAGGCAACCGATCCTGAACTGATCACTCTTTTGTGACAACTTAGGCTTGCAATGGTTAGTGAAACGAAAAAAAATTAATTTGTCTACTGCTAATAATTAATGCATAATTAATGCATTGATATTCCCTATATTGATGAATAACAACACTTTTATCATTAATGAATCCTCTACATTACATCATTCACTGACCTTATATAAATACAGTTGATTTGCAAAGGTTATCATCTGGTTAGCATCTGCTTAGGTTACTCTCTATATCTTGCTCCTATTTTCTTGCTTCTAATTCCATACTTTGACCCTTGGTGGAAAAAATTTGGCCCAATTTTTGAGCAGTTAAAACTTATTGAATTTGTATTTAACCTCACTGTCTTTGTTAATTTTCTTAAAAAAGCATTAGTTTTCTTTTACTGAAACTTTTTTTCGTTAATATAGATTAACAAAAAAGTTATTGCAAAATGAAGCCAACACTTTTATTAAACTAAAAAATTGCGCAATTATCAGAAATGCTTTAAAATGTGAATAAATTTCAAGTTACTATATTTTTAAAACTTACTTAACGTATCGATGGTTTAATCCGCAAACAAGATAACTCCAGTAAACCAAACTGTGCAGGAGCATCATAAAAGTATCATATGCAACATAAAAGTATTTCATATGGAATTATCTTGATAGTGGATTAAGCTGTCAATATTTGATTTCCTTAATAATTTTCAAAACTCCAAGAAAGTATTTTTAACTTTGAGCCTCTCAATTAAAACCATTCGTTATTTTAAAGTAGGGGTAACCACTTTAAAGTAATCAGGAGACAAACGTTTGTCTCTAAACCTTTTAACACTTGAAAAGTATTTTTTTTAATTTTTTAACTTTTAAATTGTCATTACTCAACATATTAAATACCTTTGTAACATTTGATACCATTTAATACCTTGATAACATTTGATACCAATTGATACATTTAGAATTAACTAGTTGCAAGATTATGTAAAGACGAATTAAATTGAAACCAAAAAAAGTAATAAATGCCAGATTACTTTCAAAAGTCCCCAAATGTTAGAAATTAAGTTTTCTCTCTGTCTCATTTAATATAAACTCTTGTTTATTGATTTGGAAGCAGTTTACATATTTGCATTTATCCCCTACATACCCCAATTGACCCTATTGATCCTTGACGCTGATTAACTTAAAATGCCAAATGGGTGTAAAAATATGTGTTGTATTTATTTTTCAATTTCTTAACATTTATTTTTACATTTTCAAGTTTAAAGAGATTATAAAACATTTTTTAATATAAAATATTTTTGTTGTTTAAAAAGTTATGATTTTTGTACATTATAACTTTTTAATGTTTTTAAAAAGTTTAAGCAAACAAATAATTTGCTATTTTAAGCATTTCTGACAATTATAAACTATTGTAACTTGCATCCTAATGCTAAAACTAAGTATATCTTAAAGTATTTTATTGCCTCAAACCATAGCAAAAAAAAACAAACATCAAACATTAAGTGAATGATGAAATAGCCTCTCCTAAACTTGGATCAGAAAACCAAAAATTATGACCTTTAAGATGATTGATGATTTAAATTATGACCTTTAAGATGATTGATGATTTAAATTATGACCTTTAAATGATTGATGCTAGGAGCATCAATCATCTTAAAGGTCTCTTAAACAACTGGTCTTGAACTTCAATGAGAAAAATTACGAAGAAAATCAAGTGAATAACTAAATTAGTCTATACCTATATAAACAATTTCTTGTAAGTTTAAATAACAATAAAGTCATTATGAACATAAAAACAATTATGCACCTAAAATCTTCTTTTGATTAAAAATTTGTTTTAAATTTAGCCTTTCTATATTAGGCATTTTTATAAAGAAATACAAATTAAAAAAAAAATCTTGTATCAAAAAAATTTAAATTGAACACACTTAAACAGGTTTAAAAAAAAAGAAAATGATCTCCTTAACTGATGTGGCTCCCTCAGCTTTGGAAAGATGAATACAGTAAAAAATAAGTCTTACCTGTAAAAATATCAAAGCGTTTTTCTGAAAATTTAACAAGATTTTCTAAAAACATTTTAGACTGTTTTGCTTTTTCATAAATATCTTTTATCTCACAATTAATGATGACAGTGCATTCCTCGAATCTGTCAAACAACAAGTCAACACAACTTCCACTTTTTTTAATGTTATTTTTAATTTCATCTCTACAAGTTTTGAAATTGTACTTTTTTAAAAGTATTGATCCCATTATTGAAGAAATGTACTTAATAGAGGCTAACAACTTATCATCGAAACATGTACCTAAAATTTATAAATAATATATAAAGATAAAAACATTGTTAAAGTTACTAAAAAATTTATAATATATATTTATATTTAAAGCTGGTTCATAAAAACTAAACTAAAAAGATTTGTAAATATAGAAAAATGTATTATGAGAATATATCATAGTAGAAATTACTGTTTTAATTTAGCCTGAATTTAAATCACTTTAACAGTGATCACACTGTGTTTCTACATTATACAAGCTGTTCTCTCTTGTATCAAGTAGAAATAAAAATTCTTACTCATTTAATACAGAAGAAAATAATTGTTTAGAAGTTGATTATTTTAATAACAGTAAGCAAAGGTGAAACATGTTTGCTTAATTTTGAATTTTTAGAATTTTTTTTTATTTAACCTGTAAAGTGGTATTATTATTATTATTATTTTTTTTTTGTTAAATAGTTTTAATTAAAAAAAATCACCTGCCAGAGGTGGTTGCTTCACTTATATAATAAAATAGTTATAATTTAGTTCTAAACATTTTTTATTAACTTGAATTTATTAACATAAAAATAAAAATTGAAACAATAAGTTAAACATTTTGTATAATGGTATCCATTGTAAACTGTAAGCAACAATAACTTAATAATAATCTACTTTTTGTCTTTTTTTTTTGTCTTTTGCAGTAAAATAGTGTACATAAGAATTTTTTACCAATTATACACTTCTTTCTACATAACATATACATAAAATAACATATTGATAGCAAGAACTAACTCAACTCTTTTGTTTTTCTAGTAAAAATAGTTCAATAGTCTTGCAATTGCAGCCATATTGAATTTGTTCACTTTCTCACATAACTATACTATTCTCTGTCTGTTGATTTTTTGTACTGCTTTTATTGAAGCCGCAAACTTATATTGATGCAGCAAACTCTACTCCAACTGAACCATAATTTTTTATATCTATAACTTCATTTTGTTGTCAAGGAATGCCAAAAGGACTCTAGAAATTAAGAATACCAAAAAGAACACCAGGGCTTGTTTTTAATTTTTGTTCTAAAAATGTTTAGAAATTTATGGATTTCATAAGGAAAAAAAACATTAGAAACTAACATTTTGCGCAAATTCCTGATATCTTCAAAACTAACAAGAATTACAAACTTTAGATTCCAGAACTTTTGAAGGTTTTTAAAAAAAACCTAAACATTAAATAGTTCATTAAACAATTATGGAGTTCTTAAGACTTCCTATCCACAATTATGTTTCAAAATACTATCATCCAATTTTATTTCATATTTGCTTTAAAAACATTTATTCATAATAATTTGTATCATAACAAAGAAATATTAAAATATAAATCTATGAAAGAAACAATAATAGCGAGACTATCATTATAAACACCACTACAAAGTTCTAAGCTCTATTAAAACCTATGTTAATTATCTTAAACTAATCTATAACATAAACATAAAATATAGTTTATCACAATTCAGAGCACACATTAGGCTGTGTGAATAAAAAAAAACAACTGCTTTTACTCAGTAATTGGTCAGACTTACGTAAATAAAACATTTAGCAATTTTCCTAACATTTTTGTTCACGAAAAGCTGAGCAGTTACTGAGTTAATTGCTTAACTTGACGTGAATAAAAATTTTAGCTAAACTAGTAAAGTTTTTATTTTTGTAAAGCTGACCAATTACTGAGTAAAAGCAATTGCTTCTTTTTATTCACTCAGTCTATTATCTAACCCTTTATTGTCAGTAGAAATAACTTGATATGACTGCATCAACAAAGAGCTTAAAAAGTTACAATTAAAAAAAATCAAAAGAAAAATTATATACTTTGTAACAGAGTTGTTAGTCCTTGCCCTTGACCTTGGTTGTTGGCCTTGGCCTTGGTCTTAATCTTGAAAATTACGCCTTGTCCTCAAAAAAAAAAACATTTTCTTATTGATTTCGTTGAATTCTGCACATAACCATGGTCTATTTTTACAAAATGTGGTTTTATTTTCCTACTTACAGTTTTGTTAATAATTGGCTTTAATGTAAGGCAAAAATGAAAGTCTTTGGTCTTGAAAATATTTGCATAGGTCTTGACCTTGAAACTCTTAATCTTAGCCTTGACCTTAAAACTCTTGACCTTTGGTTTTTGATATTAGTCTTGGCCTTGGCATTGTAATATGTGGCCTTGGCCTTGCTACTTTTAACTTTGTTAACAACTCTGCTTTGTAATATAAAAGATAAAATAAGTATTATTAATATCTCCTTTAAAATATATCCATGACAACAACAACAATTAAGAAAATAGTTATTAAAGTTAAGTTCAAACATTTGTCATCAATTGAGTCTGATTCGCATGCTGTTAAACATACTTGCTAAGTTAATGTCTAGGTACATTTCTTTTTAACATTTGTCTAGGTACATTTCTTTAAACACTTGGAAACTCAATAAGTTTGTAGTTAGTAAAATGTTCAAATGGTTGAAAATATAAAGCAAAGCCTGAAAGATAATGATATTGCCTATGGCAAGGGTTGAATTAAGCGATTGTGAAATGCAAAATCTGGAAAAATATCTGGTCTTCAAAATTTTAGTTAATGTTCTTTGTTTTCAAGGGGCAATTCAACTTAAATTTGTTAGCGAAAAAGTTATAAAAAATAAAACAATCAACTTATGACTACAAAAGTAATAACACACTAGTCACTAACTGCATTATAAACATAATAAAACTATAAAAGTGTTATTACTTTTATAAAGTACTTATAACTTTTAAAGTTCATTCTTTGTTAAACAACATTAGTAATTCCAAACTTTAATTAAAGTAGAAAGACATCTAGAAAAAATAAAGTGGATATTCATATATTATTAAAAACTCCAGGAACTTCTACACTAACAAATTTAAGTTGATTTGCCCCTTAAAAATAAAGAACACGGTTTTGTATAAACTAAAAATTTGAAGACCAGATATTTTTCCAGATTTTGTGTTTCGCAGTGGTTTAATTCAACTCTTGTATGATATTTAACAATATTTAAAATATTTAACATAAGTCAATGAATAAAACAACATAGACATCTGATAAAGTTATTTCTCATTACAGTACTTTTTATTTTCTTAATCTTGATTCCATTTTCTAAATAAATCATCCATCTTGGTATGAAATATTTGTTAGTTTTATTGATTTATATCTATAAAGCATATATTTAATATAATGTATATAACTAACAAACACATAAAACATAATTATTATTATATAACATAAATATTAATTATATATCCAACAATTATTTATAAAAACACAATTTTTTTTAATTTAAACTTTAAATGATCAAAACATTTTTTTAAAAATGTAAATATTCTATCAAAATTAAAGTTTATTTTTTTAATATTAAATACTCTTAATTACCAAATAAAAAAAACAATACCATTAAACATTGATTCAATATCAGATTTAGACAGATCAAGCTTCGGAAATGAAGTTACGTTAAACAAACAACGACAACTGTCTAAAAAAAACAAACAATGACAACTTTCTCAAACAAACAAAAAAAACAACGACAACTGTCTCAAAAATTATTCAATAAAAATAAAGATTCAACAGAAAACAACAATCACAGAAAAAATTTAAGTAAAAAAATTTACCAAAAGACCCAAAACCATTACAAACTCTTTGAGATCTTGTTAGATCTAAGGAAACTGGCTCAATAGAAGAGGTTGTGAGTACTGATCCAGTAAATACTAGTGTTGAAGAAATTTTTTCTGTGTTAGGTAAAGATGCAATTTTTGCAGGTCTTGTTGCTTCAGATGCTGTTGTTGGCTCTTCTGGGAATTGTTTTGAAGTAGAATTATTTACAGAAGTTGATACAAATAATGTTGGAATGCTTGTGTTTACAGCTTCTTCTGTGGTAACAAATGGCTCATTAAAAAGGGTTGTGAGTTCTGACCCAGTATAAATTAGTGAAAAAGAAATGTTTTCTGTGTTAGTTGAAGTTGCAACTTTTACAGGTCTTGTTAAAATTTTAGAACTTGTTGCTTCAGATCCTGTTGTTAGCTCTGTGAATTGCTTAGAAAGAGAACTAGTGAGAGGTATAGAAGTCAATTCAAATAATGTTGCAGTGCTTGTGTTCACAGCTTCTTCTGTTGTGACAAATGGCTCAATAGAAGGGGTTGTGTGTTCTGATCCAGTAAATACTAGTGTTGAAGAAATGTTTTTTTTGTTAGGTAAAGATGTAATTTTTGCAGGTCTTGTCGCTTCAGATGCTGTTGTTAACTCTTCTGGGAATTGTTTTGAAGTAGAATTATTTACAGTTATAGAAGTTGATTCAAATAATGTTTGAGTGCTTATGTTCACAGCTTCTTCTATGGCAACAAATGGCTCATTATAAGGGGTTTGGAGTTCTGATCCAGTATAAACTAGTGAAAAAGAAATGTTTTCTGTGTTAGTTGAAGTTGCAACTTTTACAGGTCTTGTTAAAATTTTAGAACTTGTTGCTTCAGATCCTGTTGTTAGCTCTGTGAATTGCTTAGAAAGAGAACTAGTGGGAGGTATAGAAGTCAATTCAAATAATGTTGCAGTCCTTGTGTTCACAGCTTCTTCTGTTGTGACAAATGGCTCAATAGAAGGGGTTGTGAGTTCTGATCCAGTAAATACTAGTGTCGAAGAAATGTTTTCATTGTTAGATAAAGATGTAATTTTTGCAGGTTTTGTTGCTTCAGATGCTGATGTTGGCTCTTCTGGGAATTGTTTTGAAGTAGAATTATTTACAGTTATAGAAGTTGATTCAAATAATGTTTGAGTGCTTATGTTCACAGCTTCTTCTGTGGTAAAAAATGGCTCATTAGAAGGGGTTTGGAGTTCTGATCCAGTATAAACTAGTGAAAAAGAAATGTTTTCTGTGTTAGTTGAAGTTGCAACTTTTACAGGTCTTGTTAAAATTTTAGAACTTGTTGCTTCAGATCCTGTTGTTAGCTCTGTGAATTGCTTAGAAAGAGAACTAGCGGGAGGTATAGAAGTCAATTCAAATAGTTTTTCAGCACTTTTGTTAACTGCTTTTTTTGTAGTGACTAATGATTCAGTAGAAGTGAAAGCTTCAGCTGTTGAGGTTGCTGGTATTTTGATTTTATTAGAAATAGTTATTTCTTTCCTTTTAGGTGACTTTTCTTTAGATTTATATAAAACAGCATTAGTAAAAAGAGCCATTTTGAATGATGTGGTATTGTTAGGTAGGTCTTCAGCTTTTGAACCAAAAGACTCAGCTTTATACGCTGTGGTTTCTGAAATGGTTTTAAACCTCTTTAATGTTGAAAGTCTTTTAGATGATATGACCATATTATTTGCTAAAGTATTTGTTGTTTCAAATAAGTTTGGTGGTGATGTTTTAGTTGTTTTTTCTGATGTTGTCATCATTGAAACAAATGCTTTAGTAGTTTGGGTTGTATAACGATTTGTTAATAATAAAGTAGTGCTTGTGTTCACTTTTGAACTGAATATGCATTTTGGAAATAAATTTGATAAAAGACTTGTTTTTAGCAAATGATCAAAACTGCTTGATTTAATAATGTTATTTGAGTTGTTTGTTATAACTAGTAAGTACTTCATGTTGATTTTTCTCCCTATAGAAACAGCATAAATTGCTATATTAGAGTCTCTTGCTTCCTTTGCTGCAATTGCAAGATCAATAGGACCATTTTCACGAATTGGAGAAATTCCCATGTTAGCATTGCCATCTGTTAGAATAATCAAAATTTTAATGACATTTGGTCGACTTCCACATCCTCGTTTTGTTAATAAACCCTGTCCTTTAACTATACCATCTTCAATATTTGTATATCTGCCTATTTGCTCAAGCTTCAAAACTGCTTCACTGAATGATTTTTCATCATGATACTGATCACAGTAAATTGATTCAACTGCTTTGTTTGAGAATAGTGCAACAGATGCTTTGTTTCCTGTAGAACTAATAGTATATTTTTTTACAAGTGTGTTAATAAATAATTTTTCTTCATTAAAGAATATAGGGCTAATAGAATCAGATGCATCCAAAACAAATGATATTTCAAGGACACATTTTTCTAAAAAAAAAATATTGATAAATTTAATTGCAACATTTTCTATGGATAAAAAATAACTACATTTTAAATAATAGTAATAACAATGTTATTACTAGTGTTTTATCATTATTTTTTTATTGCTATTATCATTACTGCCGTTATTATAATAATTATTATAGCTATTATTGTTATTATTGCTATTATTATTACTATTATTATTATTATTATTATTATTATTATTATTATTAGTAGTAGTAGTAGTAGTAGTAGTAGTAGTAGTAGTAGTAGTAGTAGTAGTAGTAGTAGTAGTAGCAGTAGTAGTAATAGTAGCAGTAGTAGTAGTAACACCAGTCTCTTTGAGCCCTTGTTACAAAACACGTGACCTTGCATAACTTTTTAAGTCCTTACATTGTTGTAGCAAAAAATTTCCTATGCTATATCAAAATAGTAGCATAAATGTTAGTAAATTTAAAAATAGTAGGGGCTTTACTTGCAGTGTGGGGACTGATCTAGCTTAATGTGTAAACTTTTATAGAAATAAGTATGACTATGTTTAAATTTTTTTTAAATACCAATGATATTTTATTTGTAATAAAGATTTAGTTATAAAATGTTAACTTAAACTAAAAAAAAATAATAATCATATTCAATTATAAACTTAGTTAGAAGATGTTTATTGAATACAATTATTGCATTTAATTATTTTAATTACATTTAAACTGATAATATAATATTATGATAGTTATTACATCTTATGTAAGGAATTATGTCATAACAATATAAGTTAGAGAACTTTGTTTTTATTAAACTAATTAATAGAATTTATTTTTTAATTTTATACCAAATTATAAATTAGTTAACAAGTTTGCCGAATGGTTTTTAAATTTTATATTATAGATTAGTATTAATATGGATAAAATATATATATGAATGGATGTTTATTGTGCAAAAAAAACAATTACATCATGAAATCAAACTAAAGATAAAAATAAATGCAAAATTTGCCAAAGTTGTACAGGTTCAAAATTATAATATTGCAAAGTTAGATAGTATAAGTAGGTATTATCTTATACTATAAGATAATTATTACATATGCAAAGTTAAGCTTACTGACATGCCTACATTTTTTTGTTTGTGTCAATTAGTTGGATGTAAACCATTTCTTAACTTTGTTTTGAACTTTCTTTGGAACAGTTGGAGTTATAAAATATATAAAAATATTGAAGGTTGTTTGAAAATAAGATGATTTTGCCTTTGACTTTGAAGCTAATTCTCTACAACGCATACTGATGTCAGGATGGGGGGGAGGTTGTTTACTCGCCATGGAGACTAAAAGGTAAGGATGTACCGAAGCTTCGGCTTCGGCTTCGGCAATTTTGCCGAAGCTTCGGTTCGGCCGAAGCCAGGTCAAATTTTTGCAGAATCTTTGGCTTCGGCAAAAAATTTTAAGTAATTAAAGTTATAAGCTATTGTTGTACAAGTTATAAAAATATGCTAATTGCCAGTGTCTAATTAAGTTGTAAATTCAGGACTACAGAGTTAAAGTTGGAGTCTATACCATATACTTAGTATTATTTACTCCCAAATGTCTTGTTATGGAGAGGATGATAATAAATAAGTAGAAATATTTTGAATATAATAGTAAAATTAAGGAAGGTCTTCATACACTTTGAAGGCTTCCAAGTGTGACTTAGATGAACTGAATTAGCATTTTTATGCAGAATAAAAACCTTATAATTTATAACAAATTAAAACTTTTTAAAAATAAAATGGAAAAAAAAACCTTAATTTGTATTATGTAACGAATTTATATTAATTTTTGTGTGGGATTACCGCAAATAGAACAAAAATTGGTTTCAACATTTGACCTATAAACCTTAGTAATCTCACTTTAAAGAAGATTAAAGATACGTTGCTACTATTTTAAATTCTGTGTATGTTAAATTTTATTTAACCATAATAATAAAAATTTAAAAATTTTCATTGTAAGATTACAGAAATTGGTAAGGTGTCACTTATATAGTTACAAACTCGTCAATGGAGTGACACATAAAAAACATAAAGTTCTCAACAACAAAAAAGGAAGAAATGCAAATGAAATATAAATGAAGAGAATAAAAAAAGAAAAAAAAAGTCAACCAAAACTATATAAATTAAAAGAATGATAATAATTATCCTTGCTCTTTTATTAATATTATGAATACTTCTAAATTGAATTTATATATTAAACATATAAACTTATATTCTAGTTTTATCTTATGATATGAAGACTTTTAAATTTTATTTAAAATAAATTAAAGGTTAAAGCTTTAGTTACTTTGAGCTCTTATATTTATCATCAAAATTTATTTAAATTAAATAAACAATTTAAATCAAATAAATATCAGCCTGCTCAGTCCCTGTTTATTTATAAATATAAAGTAAATAATAATATAATTATAAATAAAATATTTATAAAGTATTCTATTTATTATTTTATTTAAAGCTCACTCTACTGAGTTGTTAGATTACTATAGAAGTTTTTGTCACAGATAGTTAGTATTTGATTTCAGATACTGATGCAGATTTATCCATTACAGAGACAGAAGAAGAATGAATACTATAATTTCAGAGTGTAAAAGATTAAAAGAAGCTTAAGAAAATGTTATGTAGTGTAAAATTAAAAATAATAATAAAAAAAAACAACAACAACTTAAAAGTGTGTAAAAAAGAAGTTAGAGAGAAATCTATCAATTGTACTTTTTTTTAGCAGGAGGTTCACAACAGCTGTAGTGGAATACAAAATGGTCTTAACTTAGGGTTTTTTTTTAGTTTAGAAATTGTTCGTTTAATGAATACAGAGAAGTAAAAAAAAGATCTTGAAATAAATAGCAATAAAAAGATAAAGTGTGTTTGTAAGATTTTTTACGTTGTAGATACAACTAGATCAGCTAAGAGTGTTAATTTAGAGAAAGAGTGTTCAAGTATAAAAGATTAATTTACTTGAGTAATATTCAGAGATTTTTATCCACTCTTAACAAAAGGTGCATTAAAAATAAAAATAAAATATACAGCACATGAAAAGATGCGTAACAGTAATTTTTATGGGGAATTTATGGGGAATAAAATTTGAGGATGTTCAGCTAGCACACTATAATTAGATAGAGCAAACAAGATGATTAAATAGATGATTAAAAATTAGATGATTAGATAGAGGATTAAAGAGAAACGATGTTTACATAGAAGAACAGTATGGCTATAAAAGATCAAAAAAATAGCAATAGTCTTAGAAGAATATTGGGAATAGTTGGAATTATATGTGGGTTACTGATATTGTGCACTATATAACATTAATATGGTTTGCACACAGAAAAAGTAGAATTAGAAGTAGGAAAATTTGGGGAAAATGTTTCAAAAAAGCTTAAGTTTTAAAAAAAAACACTAGGTGCGGTAAAGTATTAGAAACGACATAATGAGAAACTTTCAAACAGGGGCGCTGAGAGCTTTTGCCCTGCCTGGGGCAGCAACCCTGACTTGTGTCCTCATTTTTATACATTTTTTCTATATTATTAGTCAAGGATCTTAGTTTTGGAACCTTTTTTGTTTTACACCCCTGCTGATCTGAATGCTGATTAAATTTTATGCATATAGAGTGCCGAAGCTTTGGCTTCGGCAAAGTGGCTTCGGCCGAAGCTTCGGCTACGGCAAAATTTTAGCTTCGGTACATCCCTACTAAAAAGGCCTTTTTTTTTTTTAAAAAAAAGAAGGTCCGCATATTTTCATTTATAAGTAACTTTTTAATTATAATAATCAAGTTCATATACGTATAATTACGAATAATAGTCAGTTTCATTCGTTAGTATAAAGGTCCAATTCAGTATAATAGTTAATTTACAAAAGAATATTCCCCCCTCCCTACCCCATCCTTAAAACCGACGGCGTTTCAAACATAATAGCAATATTTAATTTAAATAATCGATTTTATTGGTGTCAAAAGTTTAAATCTTTTGAAAAAATGCTTTAATTTGCTATAAATCCTAGTTCTAATCAAAAAATTTATCATTTTAATTTTTTTCGTCATTTCATAATTTACAGACCTGATCATTCAACGAAAATATGTCGTAGTCAACAAAATATCATATAGATGCTAAATCTACCAAAGGACGTCTTATTTTACGTCCTTGATCTACCTCAACTATACCGAGCTGCGGGCTTTTTTGTTTATAGCTAATTTATGGCTGAATATTCAGCGACACTAAGTTATTTTAATAGTCCGGAATCATCAAGCGTTGCCGAATTTCGGCGATTTTTCCTAATTATTCTAAATTTTAAGGTGGCTTACCCCTATTAAAAATCAAAAAAAAAATTTTTTGTTTTTTTTGTTTTATGCTATTTCAAACATTGAAGAACAAAATCCATAATCAATTTTTACTACTATGTGCTTTAAAAGTAACAAAAAGTACAGTTATTGTGGTCATTGCACTTTCCTATTCCATAGCAACGCCATAGCAACGGTGTAAACAACAATTTCATTAACTACTTCTTAAAGATTTTCACTAGAAATTTTAAAGTATTTCTCTGTGTTAGATCTATTACGCTTTTCTATTGTTCTGCAAAGTATATCGTTTTTAAAAAATGTGCTTTGTTTCATTTTTATGATGTATTTTAACTAAAACTGTCTGTCTGAATTTAACTGAAAGCTATCTAAATCTAAATATGGCAAACAAAAGAAATAAAGTTAGAAGTTTAAAGAGAAAATCAAGGAAATAGATATTCAAGGAAAGAAAAGGATGTAGTTGATTGTAGCAGGAAATCAGAAACAACAAGTGCATCAAAGCTTAAGAATAAACATAACTTTAATGGTGCAACGAATTGTGATTCTAAAGTCGACAATTTTTTTTTTATATGTAACTTTAGAGTTATTAAAAATATATTTGAACTGTATTCTACATGCAGTGATTGTAATAGCAAGTTAACTTTTTTGCATAATAAATCTGTACGTATGGGATTTTCTATTGGAATTATAATACAATGTTCAAACTGTGGCTTTGAAAGTACATTTTATTCATCTCTAACTATAAATCAAAGTTCAAAACCTGATTCAAACCCATATGAAATAAATTTGCGAGCTGTTATGGCATTTCGTGAAATTGGACGTGGTAATGAAGCTATGTCTAGTTTTACTGCTATAATGAATATGCCTCCACCTCTTACGAATCACAGTTATAATCTTACAAACAATAAATTACATAAAGTTTATAAGGAAATTAGTTTACAGAGTATGAAAGCTGCTGTATCAGAACTAAGAGAAATTTTAAATGCAAATGCTTCTGATGATGAAATTATTGACTGTGGCATATCAATAGACGGAACATGGCAACGTCGTGGATATTCTTCCCTAAATGGTGTTGTTGCTGGTCTTTCACATGAAAATAAAAAGGTGATTGATGTTTTTTTTTTTATCTAAGTTTTGTATGCAGTGTGAAGTACATAAAAGAATAAACAATCCAATTGATTTTGAATGTTGGAAAGCTACACATAATTGCCAGGTTAATCATTTTAGCTCAGCAGGGTCAATGGAAGCTGCTGGAGCTCAAGAAATATTTCATTCGTCTATACAAAAGTATAATTTAAGATATACTAATTACCTTGGAGACGGTGACTCAAGTTCATTTTCTAATGTTGTTAAAAGTAAACCATATGGTGATTGTATTATTGAAAAACTAGAGTGTATTGGCCATTATCAGAAAAGAGTAGGCTCTCGTTTGCGTCAAAAAATTAAAGACTTTAAAGGCAGGTTGTTAAGTGACGGCCTAAAAATATCGGGAAAAGGAAGATTAACCAATAAATCTATTAACACAATGCAGAACTTTGTTGGAATGGCTATAAGACAAAATAAAAATGATCTACTGTGTATGAGAAATTCTGTAATAGCTGTACTTTACCATTGTACAAATTTTCCTTATGAAGTTACTCGTCATCAATTTTTGTTTAAAAGGGAAAAACAGCTGGTGCAAATGGCAATCAGATAAAGTTACAGGTAAAACAAGTTATAGATAAAAAATTAACTTACCTGTTACAATTATGGAGGAAATTAAACTTATTTTTCAAGAACTGTCAAACCCTGAAATGCTAAGAAAGTGTTTACATGGAATGACACAAAACTGCAATGAGTTATTTAATGGTTTCATATGGCAGAGATGCCCTAAAGCTACTTTTACTGCAAGAAAAATTCTTGAAATAGCTGTTTATTCTGCTATTTTAAATTACAATGATGGATTTACTTCTTTAAGGTATATTAAGGTTATTTAGACATTGAGAAAGAGAATGAAGATGTAAACTTTTATGCTA